TGAGACATGTCCTAGAACTTTTGGCGCGGTGCAAAGATTGGTGGGTTGACATACGGGATATACAGTGTTGCTCATGTGGCTCAAAATTCCTCAGACGAGATCATCTGTTACGAAGAACCATCAAAAAGGCTCAGGATGAGAGATCGCCTAGAGGGTACCATGAACAAGTCGACAGAAAACTCAGTTATGGTTTCACGTATTTATTGCCAGTTTCTCAACAATGCACCCACCACCGACACTCAATGTATTCCCAGACGGTTTCCACCTCTCCTGTGAAAATTACCTTGGGACTTTTATTGATCCGTTCAAGTCAGTTATTGCGCCTTTTTGAACTTAAGTAGATTCCATTTAACCGGTTAGAAAGGGAAGACAGATGCATGAATCTTTTCATTTCCGATGACAGTATCATCAACAGAGTTAGTAAATTCCACCTTGCCATTATTTAGCCTGTGCACCTATGACCTCGATTAGGGCTAGGGTATGCTGGGTCATCAGACTGTATATATTCCATCAGAGTTTTGAAGTTTCGCATTGGTTCTTGAAGACAAAGCACGGGAACGCCAGGTAATCGAAGCTGTAGAGCGATGGATAGATTTTTGAAACAATTGTATGGTATGCCTGAACCGGTTGGGGTGACTTGATCGCATTTTTGTGTTCCGAGTGCTTCATTAGTCTGTTTTTGAGGCTTGGTCCATACGTGACTCGAGGTGAGAACCGCGTTTTCCGTGTCGACTCTTGTTGTTTGAAAGATTGACGTCCATTGACCCGCATCGTCAGCAACCCACACCTATCGTCATGGATACCCCCTTAGTGAATGGGGTCACTCTATCCAATTTCTCACCCACAAATTTCCTCTTATTCTTTTTGTTTTATGCTGCGCACACCGGTGACCAGCTCCACTAGAGAACCATCCAAAATATACGTGTACGTGGACAGGATAGAACTAACAAATCAATATGGGCCATTCCTTTCTAGATATCTCATATGGGAGTTATTGGTTCCATTGCAGAAATAGTGACAAGTACATGTAAAGCCGAATTGCAAAACACACGTTTCTGATTGGTCACATACATGTTGCAAGACTCACAGGTGACCTGGTATAGTACACCGTAGGTTCTTGAATCTGCATAACAAAATTTCAAGTGATCGTTAGAAGAGGGTTGCACAAACTGTCATGACCGAATAGGTCCGTGTAGACGCCTCTTTGATGGCTGTACTAAAGTAGCGTATCTTTTAATTTACATCCATCGAATAACATACCCAAAGTATTGGATTAAAAATGTGTTTTTTGGGAATAATAGCCACATGTTGAGAGTCGGTCCTATTCAGACTCTCCTAATCGAGTTCTGTCAATGCGCTACTCATAAGATTGCTGAAAACTCCTGAACAGTCCACGATCGGTTTCGCACTTCTTGGGGCTCACCAGGTAGGCACAGTCCCCGAGTTTTCGTCAACCTTATGTTCTACTTGAAACCGAATCGCACGAAATTAGCAAAATACACTCATTTGCAAACAAATCTGGTTTTGCGGGAGACTCACTTGGAACCTACCTGGATCTCTCGTGGGTAATGTTTCCAGACAACCAAATATGCTGCACTAGGCCGCCTCATGTTTCAGTCGCTACGATATTCGAGATATCGCGATACATATATATCTGTAGTGCACTACTCATTCAGTTGCCTTGAAACATCAAAACCGCTAGGTTCAACTGGGTTTCAGGTGAGTCTCTCGCAAGACCACATTTGTTTGCAGATGGGTGTATTTCGCTGAGTTCTATCAGATTTTGTAAGTAGTGGGGACAATGTGAATTTTCGATCTCTTGATTGCTTGGAGGCTAACAGTTCACACTGGGCTGGAAAGCCGACAAAGTTTGTGCCGCCTTAGGTACAAATACATGCGGAGGTTTCTTGTGAAAAAATCCCTTCTTGTGCACAATCTGCACCCGTAAGTGTAAAAATAACGCACCTTGCACATTCAACTGCGGCACCGTTGATGGCACACAAAAAAAACAAGATTCGATGCTTGACGCGGTCGAGGTATCTGACAGGTGGAATTCAATCATTACTTTAGATAGCAGTGGCAAGTTTGGGTTTCGACAATCCCGATAAGTCGGTAGCATAATTTATTCACAAACTTTGTATTATTTCTCCAGTACCAATATTGAACTTGTTCCAACAAGATACATTCTACCCGATTGTCACTCAGTTATGGAAGGAAAAAACCATTCATATTTGTTGATCATTCCAAAAATGCATATACCATTAGAATATTACACAGTTGTTGGATGATATGCGGAAGCGAGTTTGGTAAATCCCCCTCCCCAAGACCGGGCGTCCCTTCCAAGACTTCCACAAACCTGCCTAGGAAGATCAACCTTGGACGTGACGCATATCTTTTAAGGACGCCTTTTTGTGTTACCACTATACTCTGCCTATCGCACAATCCTCGTGCCGACTGACCTTAATTTTCGCCGTTTTTGTCAGCCATAGTTACCAAACTAAGCAACTAACCACGTTCAACTGTCGCATCGTCAAACACATTTTTTAACCATGACCTAAGAAACATGATAAACGAGAGATTCAGCTGGGGTCCAGATGAATCTCTCGCAAAACCAAGTAAGTTGGAAACTGAGTGTATTTCGCCAATTTCGTGCAATTTGGTTTGAAGTAGAGCATAAGGTTGACGGGAACTCGTGGACTGTTGGGGAGTTTTCAGCAACCTTATGAGTAATGCATCACGAATGACTACTCAAGGACTACTCAAGCCGAAATACTTTATTCCAGCTCATGAATTAAAAGATACGTTAAGGAAAGGACCGAAGGACAAGACTGGGGAAGGCGCAAGGAACAATGATACGTTCCGAATCAACTACACGGACTGCAATGTCGGATGGACTGGACGGCTGAAGAAACATAAAGAAGCCATCAAAAGATACCACTGTCCATTATCACCTCATTGAAGATTGTGCAGTTTGAGCTAGAAAGCATAAAGCTGCGGAAGTGCAAGACACAAGAGGAAGTACCGAGAAGCCTGGCACACTGAAATCATTCAATCAATCGGCGTTGAACTGATAGTCAATGGCAAGAGTGAATGACCAACGGGCCAAGAAACAAGAGTCAGTGTGGAAACAAGATCACGTCGAGGCGACCAAAATGGTTAAGTTTCAAAGCTAACCGGATATCTACAAATCAGAAGACAGGCCAATCCGCATGTTCCCCAAAACGATCAGTGATCGGCGAAGGTCGACTTGGGGGAGTAAGTCTTATATCAAGCCATACACAACTACGCACCTCCAACCTCACCGCACTTTTACTCGCATCGCTTGATGACGTCACCTTAACTGGAGTGAAACGTCTTCAATCAAAGCGCTAAACCCAGCAAGCTGACAGACAGCCATCAATAATCTCACCCTATCGATGAACGAAGGCCAACTTCATGCTAGAACCATCAATCAAATCACCCTGTGATTAGCGAATATACACTCATTTGTAAACCAACTTGGTTTTTCGAGAGACTCACCTGGAACCCAGCTGAATCTCTTGGTTATGATGTATCCAGGCAACTGAATGAGTAGTGCATTACAAATATATATGTATTGCGATATCTCGAATATCGTAGCGACTAAAACGTGAGGTGGCCTGGTGCAGCACACTTAGCTGCCTGGAAACATCACAAACGAGAAATTCTGCTGGGTTCCGGGTGAGTCTCTGACAAAACCAAATTAGTTTGCAAATGGGTTCATATTCGCTAATTTCGTGCAATTTGGTTCCAAGTAGAACATAAGGTTGATGGAAGCTAGGGACTGGGCCTGCCTGATGAGCCCCAAGAAGGGCAAAACTGGTGTGAGCTGCCGAGGAGTGTTCAGCAACTTTATGAGTAGTGCATCACAAAAGATACACTCTGTGATTATTTCACAGGGTGGTTAAATAAATTTTCTCCACAAACCCTGAGTTATCCTAGTGACTGGGTTAAAATTGGTGGCACTTGGTTGAACTGCGACCGGAGTACCAGAGCCAGCGTGTTACTGGAGCAAAGCATGAGGGATTTAGTGAATCGCAGAAATGTCTCCCTAAGTGCTTCGTTTGCGTCCTCGCACATGGTAAATGATGTAATCTCGTGTGTTACATGGGTGAAATGAGCAGTGATACTGCATCGCTACCGAACCATCGCTTCACAGGTAGCGTAGCTAGCGAAATTCGTTACAACCTCAGCCAGGTCTCTTCGTCATATCGATGACTGGCAGCATGGTGCATATATTTGGAAGAAGAAAGCAATTTCCTGATTGCTGTGCAATCACCCCGCCAGAAGGTGAACCCCACCAGACGGCTAGATGAGTGCACGATGGATTCATCACTCTGATGGCAGTTTGCGTTTAGTCTAGAAAAATCTGAAAGCTTCCGGCTTTGAAGTTCAGAAAAGTAAATCACTGTTTACGTTACTGTTTCTTTTTCTGAAGCAGTCTGAATTGTGACCGCAGGCATCCTCGTGTTTGTAAATGTTTGAAGACTTTAGAAAATAAATTGTACGATTTAAAATTGCACATCGTAACATGCTTTTCGGCCTAAAAGGTGTACCATGGAAACTACGGTGAAGCCACACAATACATAAAAGTACTTATCATCTTCACTCTTCACGGGTTTAACCTGATTGCACGTGGGATCAAGTAGCAATCTGGCAATCATTTACGGTACTTCCGAACACGATGATCATCCAGAGTTTGATCACCTGAAGATGCATTCCACTTTTTTGTTGGTCCGTTTTGGTAGTGGGGCATCAGGAAGGTCAACTTCATGAAAGCAACCTCAGAACGCCCGGAACCTACTGCTCCACCAAAAACTCAACAGGAAAGCCGGCAAGCATCCAGGCCAGTCAATCATTCAATCAATTCAGCAAGGGCTGATGAGTGTTCTTGCACGCCACAGAAGCACGACTGAATGTGATCAGCCTTCAGGCATGCCATAGAGGTACGATCATTAACGCCTATCTTACAGCCTGGATCAATGTCAGAAAGTTCCCTTTTGAATAGCGTGGGGCCGTTGTAACTTTTGCTCTCGCACTCGCACGCGCTCAAGCTCTCGCACTCGTTTGTTCGGAATATCGCGGCCGTGTTTCCTTCTGTGAGTTTTCTTTCTCCGGCACTGGAGTGGGTCAGCAGCAGAACAGGCAGGCCGGCGAACCAGCAGATATAACATGGGGCATTTCCGTTCATTTCAATTATATGCCCATCCTCTTTCGACCTCACGATAAACCATCATAACCTGGTTGTTTTCATCACTATTCAAGAGTAGTTACAAATGGTTGCGAAATTCATTGAACTGACATCTATAGCACACGGGTTTGAACAGTTCTCCTCAATTTCTGGGGCGATTGTTCGCGTAAGTCCACACGGAACGTGGAAGAGTAGGACACGGATTCCCCTCTTATTAGAGGCCACCAGCATTGCATATCCTTGGTCATGTTGGGTACTCCTCAATTACAGAGGCGATTGTTCTCGTAAGTCCACACGGAACGTAAAAGAGTAGACACGAATTCCCCTCTTATTAGAGGTCACCAGCATTGCATATCCCTGGTCATATTGGGTTTTTTTTTTACAAATTCTGGAAATAAAACATATGAGCATACCATGATTTCACCAGCATTCCATCAACACACGAAGAACGCATCGCAAATATCAAGTTTCGGTCCAGAGCCTCCACCTTTGTTAGAGACTTGCTCCAGCAAGGCGTAGGAAATCGTGGGATGCTTCGAAAGAGACCAATTTGGATGTCATTCCAAGAGTACATATTTCGAGCGACTTACTCATTGATACAGACGTGATTTCGCGAGTACTCAGTAGATGTATTGGCACGCCAACTTCAGCCGAAGGTGTACATACGTAGTCTCATTGTGTAGTGACAGTTCTGATCACCTTAGGGTAGGTCATCTTGTACGTGATGTGGAAGCGATTCGATGCACACGTCTCCCTGCAACGGACTGGCGTCGGAGGTCGACCATATATTTTTTTGTCCCGACGGACTCCGAAAGTTTGGCCTGAGACGTTTCGTGTCTCGGCGAATGCCCTCAGTGAATAAATATATGCTATATCGACTGAAGTTAACCAGTCTTGAGAAAATAGGAATAGGATTGTTCATTGGAATGCAGAAAGGTTGACGTTCCGGTCCAAAAATAACCTGTAAATGAGGCAAAGCCTTGAAAAATTCACACTTTGCCTCAAGCACATCAGTTTCCGTCATTTTCAAAATCAATTATTCTTTGTGCAGCGGTGACCCTGGGCGGCCTGCCTGACGGTTATTCACACGTTTTTGGTTCAATTTTCTAAACAGTTCGCTCTTGTTGACATTTACCCAACTAGATTGCAGCTTTTGTTCCAGTAGTGTGGAACGCAGAATTGAACGGTCCAAAGGACACTTTAGCGGAGTATAAACAAAACCAACTTCGAAGTGAAAGCGCTCTCTCGTTGCGTAATTTTGTGACTTAGTCGAAGAGAAGGACTTTCACCTATAACGAATTCTGAAAGTCGTTTGAAGGTGGAAATTGTTGCATCACCTTGACTTCAACTCTTGACGGCGTTCCACCTGAGGGTTTAAATTCTAGAAGTTTGAGTGGCGAATTCAGTTATGATTTTTTCTTGAAGCCTAAAAAATCTTTTGATATGACCCTTGAACCTTATCGTAAATATCTGACAATTTAACGTCGTTAGGCAAACCATTGAGTCGATTTCGACCCCGTTCACCGCCTAGGGTTGGTTACAATTGGTAAATATTTTTCATTATAAGCACTATCGTAAAATCCAGAGGGTGCATCACTGAAGGCCAGCAAGTTCAATTTCTCGACTGATTTCATCGTCTGCTCAATTAATTTGGTTGTTACGAAAACCGGTTTCCCAAAAAACCGTTTGATTGTCGAGTCAATGCCAAATTTGTTTTGCAAAAGTCTGAATTTTCAACTTTCGCGCTTTTTCCGCCATGTCACACATTATTCAAACAGACCACACCAGCTGCACTTTTTTGTGCTAATGAATTTATGGTTCCTCAAGATGGCCCCCATATATTAATATATATGTACATTCTAGACGATGCTGTGCTTTAATCCACCTTTGGTTGAAACAGAAATGGTCTTTTCGGAAGTTCCGGTCTTCTTCTCTTTGAGCTGGCGTCATAACTGCGAATTCGTGCGATCATTTTCAGTTTGCCTATAGTCGTTGTTCGTGCCGTACACTGGTCCCCAGCTATGCCCGAGTCGCTCGACTTGGTTTGCGATCACTTTCTGGTTCCAATTCAACTTGGCGGTCGAATGAGTTCGTTGTGCAATACCATGCTTCTAGCAATCCGGTCGCAACTTCGGTACCTCTGTGCACTGGAACCATTACTTCTTCCATATTGGAATAGCGGCCTTTCAGAAGTCTATCTATAGAATTTAGAAAAGCAGATCCTGTGTCCGGTGGTCCAGACAGATAATCTTCCGGTTTGGTCATCCACTGCATTTCATCTGGTATATGATTTTGTGTTTAGGTTCCGAAATCAGTATTTTGAGACCTTATTAACTGCTACATGGTTGCACACGAGGCGGTGTGCAGTTATCAGCAAAATGGCCTGGGTCTAAAAGTACAAAATCCAAGTAAAGTTAGATCCAATTAACCACCCTACCCCCATCCCCATCCCCAAACCAATTGTCCCAGCACCCTTGGAAAACACAGGTGAACGAAATTTGTGAACCCGACCCCAAGAGGAAATTTCCATTAGGGTGCCCTGGCTGAAGAATCAAGGACGAAAAAATCCGGGTTCATCATAAAGACGAATCCCCCCTAACCAATTCATCGTAAATCTTAGTCATCCCGACTAATCAACAAACAGGGACAACAGACTGAACACCCAGCATTGACCACGTCACTAGTCATAAGGAATCTCACGGATTGGTTCCCTGACTGCCTTAAAACCCAACCAACCTACTTACTTACTCACTTAGCCTGACGAAGCTTTTATCAAAAGCGAAACGTTGCCCAGCAATAAATCCACCGATTGTTTACCAAACCCCTCTGAAACGATGACTTCCCAATCGGTCTCAAACATTTTCCAAATGGTTGCAGTATTCTTCTTGTTAGAATATCGCAAACATCATCGAGCACCAGACTAACGGATCAGATGACAGACAGAACAAGCCAAGCCAAAACACGGTACAGCTATCCCCTCTCCACTGGAAATCATCTGCAGTGGGTATCTCGAAACTGGAAGCTCCCGGCTAGAAATTGAGACCATCAACTGTGCGGCCACGCACAGCTTGTCAGCAGTGTGATTAACTTAACAGGGTATAGCCCCATCCTTCAGCCACGGGATCCACATCAGGTGTTGACGATTGTTCACTGGCTGTTCGCGCAAGAACGTCTAAGATATAAGTTTCACTCATCGGTCGGATTATGTTCATCCCCCCTCAATCCATTAGCAGCTCAGAGTTGGAATGAAATTTACCTAATGAATGAAGCTTCAATGTGAGAAGTTAGTTGGTCGAAGAGCTGCTCGAAATGTGTGACCACGTGATGTGAATTCCGTGACTGAAGGATGAGCGGAGCTATATCCTGTCTGAGTGCGAGTCAGTCACACTACTGATCAGCCGTTCTCAGCCAAAAGGTTAGGTGTTCAGACGTGTTGCTGAGAGGTCGCGGGTTCGAGACTCCACGGAGTTTCGTAAGATGCGCACTGCTGATGATTCCCAATAAGGATGAGACAGGTGTACAGTACTTTCTGATTTTTCAGTATAGATTAGTTTCAATGACACGACAAAATCTTCACCAAACAAGAAGGATACTTTTCATGAAGGAAACTACTCACAAGGTTGCTGAAAACGCTTCGACAGCCCACGACCGGCTTCGCCCTTTTCGGGGCTCATCAGGTAGGCGCAGTCCTCGAGTTCCCATCAACCTTATGTTCTACTTGAACCCACATTTTACTGCGATATCTCGAATATCGTACCAACTGAAGCTTGAGGCGGCCTGTGCGCAGCACATTCAGTTGTAGAACATCATAAACGAGAGATTCAGTTGGGTCTCTCGTGAAAACCAAATGGATTTGCAAATGATTGTATTTCTCGATAAGAAGGATACTTATGCAAAATTCCCTCTTTCACCGACCGACAACCGTCCGACTAACTTGCTGTTTGCACAGTAGCCTGGCCCTCCCATTGATTCTCGTTTACAACTGTCACATAAGATGAACTGGACAGCGGCTGTTACAATAAACGTTTATAATTGATTTGATTGACTGGAAAAATTGTGAATAGATCAACGTAACTGAGATATTTCCATTTCTCACAGAACTGGAATGCCAAAAACACCATACATCAGAACCAATGGTTATTGCTCCGGCAGTCTGAACTCACCGCACTTGATGCTGCAAAAGTGAACAGAACTTTGGACATCAAGACTAGAGTAAAATTTGGAAGGATGTGTCAACATCGGTGGAGCCCGAATCCCATGTTCACTGGATTAGCTGACTGTGGATGAAATGATGATTCTTAACTAGAATTAGCGACAGTATCCTGCGATGCCGCATAAGTCCACCTGACCCTCACTCGTAACTGACACTGTTTCTCTCAGCCATCCCCGGCTTTTTTTCGAGACGCACATGGAAAAAAATGTCTGACAAGCCGACAAAAGTGCACTTGACATCTTTGGACCAACTGCCAGCCAACTGTCCGCTCAATATCCACTCTATTGCCATAGTTACAAAGAGTATTTATTAGTCGCAAGGCAACCCGTGAAAACAAATGTGAGTTTCGGTTCGTGTTCCTTTTGTATCGAGTTGACATTTCCCGTAGACAGCACCGGCCGGTGAATGAATGACAAATCCTGGTGGATATTTTGTGGGAATCTGTTAGTAATCCCTACTCCGTCTAAGAAAGCCGGATTGAGAAGATGAGTCGTCTTAATTTTATCTACATTTTTCCCTACGAATTTCTCGTGACAGAGTGGAAGTTCAGCGATCATGTGATAATATGTAGAAACATACGGACACCCCCTACTAGATGAATGGAGTGTGACACGAGCTGTATGGGATTTTCTCACCGGAAGGGTACAGTAACTGCTTACAGGAAAATGCAGTTTCGAAACAACAGTATTCTCTTACTCCGGATGATGGAGCAGGGTAGACAGGAACAAACTGTAGTTGTAATGGGTGTTTTTTTTCAATTGAGCGTGCCGCCTCAAGGCTGGTATTCGGATGTCACAGGGTGCTTAAAGCTCATCAAAAGCTCACGACCAGTTTCTTTCCTCCTGTGAGTTTATATACATATACATATATATAAGTACAT